ACAGCCTCCAAAGCCACAGAGAAACCCTGTCTCGAAAAACAAAAAAAACTAAAACAAAACAAAACAAAACTGGAGAAATGAGGGGTGTGGCTCATTGGTAGAGTACTTGCTTAACATGTAATCAGGTCCTGAGCCAAACATACAGCACTAAAAAAAGGAGGGGTATTAAAACCAACTAGGTTTCTGATGATTTAGTGAATTACATTTGTCAAGTGTGATAACAGTGTGATATGGACTGAATGTTTGTGTTCCTAACATTCATATGTTGCAGCTTTAATGTTCCACATAGTGATGTTCAGAGGAAGGGCTTTAGGAAGTATAGTAATGAGCTATTGAACAATGCTTGGGTAAACCAGAAAACATGTATTTGTTCCAGAAGATCACAAGTGAACTGAAAAAATCCTATCATGTAGTAATGTTTCAGCCAGACTAATGCTATGGCATAATGACTCATGTTTGTGATGATGCTGGCATTAACCAACCTCCTGAGTTGCTAGTCAGACGAAAGCACAGCATACAGTTAATGGTTTATATACTTCCTTACATACTTTTTATGAGAATATACTCCTTCATATAAATAAAACTACCATGAAACAATATGCCATATCATGTCAGCAGAAGCCTCATGGAACATATCATGTTCACAAAGTAGCAGGATTGCATCAAGAACCCAGATCAAGTGGTTGACATATGCCATCTATGTTTGTATAAGTATATTTGATGACATTCATTCAACTATGAGATTGTTTAACAATGCATTTCTCACAATGTATCTTCATTGTTAAGCAATGCTCGAATACAATTAGGTTTATATAAAGTCATGAGCATGAGAACTCCTGGGAGAATTAGCATTCTTGTAAGTAAAGAAGAAAGACCTGAGAGGTTATACACACTACTTTGGGAAGGCAACTATCTGCAGGAAGACCTAGATTTTGGCCTTCTCAGTCTTTGAGAAACAAATGCATTTTGTTTAAGGTACATGTTTTATGGAATTTTGTTATAATAGCCCAAGAAACACAGCACTGAGGGCATAATGAAAAAATAGCCTTCTATGTTGAGTATATCAAAGTATTCGTAGATGCTGATACACAGGATGCCTTATATTTCCTTTGAAGTGCTAAGGCCAGAAAGATAGAAGATCAGAATCAAGATGGGAAAGAGTTGCTTATTATTGAAGCTGATTCACTGTTCTTTCTACTTCTGTGTATGTTTGAAATTTATCGTAATAAGAGTAAAAATATTTATGCCAAGGGGTATTAGAAAAAGGAAATGAATGGGCTGCAAAGTTATCTTTGTTTAAAAAAACAATGCATACCTTTCTGCAATGAAGTCTGACTTGACTCATCCTGTGTATTATCTTTCTGAGCACTCACTAGATCTGCAATCAGAACCTCAAGGGACAGATAGCTGCTCCCAGATGTTTGGATCTTTTCTTCCATTGTTTTCTTAATGTCCCTGAAACTGAATCCCATTCGTATAGCTTCTTGTACCATAGGATTCTGGAAGATGGTATCATCTGAAATCAAAGTTGGGTGGAGAAAGAACATAGCAGACACAAGTATTTTCATTAACATGACTAAACAGTAAAACAGTTTAGGGCTGTAAGACTATGATATGGCTGAGGAGTAGTTTAGTGGTAGAGTGTTTGCCTATTTTGTGTGTTGTGTTGTTGTGGCTCTGATTCCCAAACTTGTAAAGAAAAATGCAAGATAGGTAAAACAGGTAAGAAAAGTAACCAGGGGATGAGGAAAGGGCTGTTGGAAGAGTACTTGCCTAGTATACTTGCAGCCCTGGTGTTTAAACCCCAGCAAAACATTAACCTAGTATGGTAGTGCAGGTCTATGACAAACTAGAAGGACTAGGAGTTCGAGGTCATATGCAGCTATCTACCAAATTCAAGGCCAGCCTAGGATGCACTAGACCCCGTTGCAAAACAATAAAGATTGATGCACTCATACATGAAACAATATAGACTCCTGAGGCTACATAGATGACTCCACATATATTAAATGTCCAAAACCAGTATTTGTCAGGGCCAGCAGTAGGAAAATGGAGAATGACTGCTGATGGATGTGTATAAGGTTTCTTTCTGACGTGATGACATTAAATAGTGATGGTTGTACAACCTGGTGAATACACTAAAAAGATGCTACATTTTATAATTTATCAAGTTAGATTTTGCTGTTTGAGTTATATTTTAACTTACAAATATTAATCCAATCCCAGAGCAAGAATCTCATTAGTCATATAAAGAAAAGTGTGCATTTTAAGGATGTTTAAACACCAAACATTCTCTAGAAATATTATAGAACCTTTGTTTTTGTGGGCTGGAACTGAACTTTTATATACTAGATAAACATACCATCACTGAAACACAACCCTAGTTCTAGATGTGTTTTTGATTTCCCCAGAATGACTTTAAAAATGCATGCTAGACAAAAATGATTTCTTTAACTTTGTTATTACTGCCAAATTCATACCAAGTAATGTAGCTCTTAATTTCAAGCATATTTATGAATACATGTAGTATTCTTCTGCCTTGTAATCCTCGACACACAAAACAGATGATGTTACGACATCAGAGAATAAGGACTCACCGGGTATTCTAAATGAAACCTTGTATTTTTGAAATATATTGCCTGGACTGACAAATGAGATCTAAAAATACAAAACACAAGGGACAGCAGAGCTAGGTATGGTAGTAAACACCTTTCATTTCACCACTCTGGAGGCAGAGGCAGGAAGGTGTCTATGAGTTCAAGGCCAGCCTGGACTTCATAGTGAGTTTCAGGACAGCCAGAGATACACAGATAAACCCTGTTCCATAATACTCCCCCCACCAAAAATTAAATCTATAATGTGCTATGGGATTTAGAAGACCTTGTTTACATTTCTAGTTCTATTAATAATTTATAATGTCACATGCTTTAATCCCAGCACTCAGGAGGCAAAGGCAGGCAGATCTCTCTGAGTTCGAGGCCAGCCTGGTCTACAGAGGGACTTTCAGGATAGCCAGGGTTACATATAGAGGAACTCTGTCTTGAAAAAAAAACAAAATAACAACAACAACAACAAAATTTATAATGTGGCCATGGGTAGATCATATAACCTCCCTGTTTCTTCAGTTGAAAAGTAGGAATAACTGCTAGAGCTGTAACTCAGAGTACTTATCATGAGAAAGGCTCCGGGCTCAATCACCAGCACCAACAAACAATAATAAACATCATCACAGGATCTGCTTTTAGCCTCATGTGGGGGCACAAACTACAATCTCAGCACTTAAAAGACGGAGGCAAAAAGATAGAGAGGTCCAGCCAGTCTGGCCTGAGATGGCTCAGAGTTCCTGGCAGTTACTTGGTGGCTCACAACCACTTATAACTCCAGTTCCAGGGGATCTGAAATCCTCTTCTTGCTCTCCTTTTCTTTTTTTGGTTTTCTCTGTGTTACAGCCCTGGCTGTCCTTGAACTTGGTCTGTAGACCAGGCTGCCAGAGAACTCAAGAGATCTGCCTGCCTCTGACTTCCAAGTGCTGGGATTAAAGGCGTCACCACCACCACCCAGCAACACCTGGCCTTTTATTGACATCCTCACTACAGAAATATATGACATAAAATTATAAACACCTCATAAATTTATAGCAACCTCATTAAACATACTATAATAATTTGGCCAAAAAATTAAACAGATTTATTTTAATAAGAATATTTACCAATTCTTTTAGTTAGTGAAGGTGTTTTTTCAGCAGTTCTTACCTAAAATAGAAATATGAATGGTAAGAATTCACTTTAGTAGAAAGCAATTACCTCAATTTGAAAACTTAATACACTCAAAACAAACTGGCTTTATTCTAATTTAAAACATGACTATTCACAAGGGTGAAGCCTGGTGGAACACAAGGAAGTTAAGACTAATCCAATATCACTTCTTTACAGACAAGAAGGTGAGGGTCAATGAGATAAAATGACTTTCTGTAGGGGAAACAAACACAAACTAAACTAAAAAAATTAACAGTAGAACCATTAGGTCAACTCTAAACTCTGATTCCAGTTCAGGGTTCTTCCCACATTTTACTAATGCTTTGACTACCCTTGTCCCATGTATCTATTCAGACACATTTTCGTATTTTTTTGTCCCAGGGCCTTGTTTATGATAGCCAGATAAGGTATAACTGATACATATCTCCAGCCTTAATTTTGCAATTTCAAATACTATGGCTCAGCAGTTGAGAACACTTGCTCAGGCATGCACACAGGCACGCATACATTCACACTAAATCAATCAATCAATGTTTTTTTATATAAGGTGAAAACTGCCAGGCATGGTGGCAGACTCCTTTAATCTCAGCACTCAGGAGGCAAAGGCAGGCACATCTCGTGGGTTTACAAAGCCAGCCCTGTCTTTTTTTAAAGGTAGAAACTATTTGTGAGTGGAAAGTACATTACACAAAAGCCTGATTTCTGAGAGCTAAATGATTTCAGTATTTTAAGTTCTTCACACCCATTCTGTTCACAGTGATACATTATTTTGCTTTGATCTTTTCAAAAATTTGCTTCAGGGTTAAGAATTAGAAGGTTTCTTGAAGTTCTCCCCTTTAAAGTTTACTATACATTAATTATAGTAGTATACCATGCATTTCACTGGAAGAAATCATTAGAAAAACAAAATAACAGGCAACTTACCAAAGATTCTCCAAGTGAATGGGTTAAATGAATATTATTTATATATTCTTGCCCCTTCTCATCCAATAGATATTTACACCTAAAAGATTAAAGACATTAAACTCTATTAGCTGATAAATTAGTGAAGTATTAGTAAAGCCAGTCCTCCTGTGATTCAAGCTAGTCTCAAACTTGCTATTTAGCCAAGGATGACCTCAGACATCTAATCCTCCTCCTCCATATCTCAATTGCTGGGATTACAGGCAGCAATAGGCACAAATTACCCTAGTCTGTTAAAAATACAGCCTTTTCTTTGAGATAGGGTCTTGACAAATTGCCCAGGCTGGCGTCGATTGAGCTTTCTAACCTAGACAGGCCTTGAAACTTCCTATCTTATCAGACTCCTAAGTAGCTGAGATTAAAGGCCTTAGCGTCACTGTTTCTGGGGAGCCACAAAGCAAACTGCTACAAAATTCCTTATAAAGCTTTCATTTCAAGGCTAAAATAATGCTCCTATTTTCCACCCTATCAATATCAATTTTCAAGCAAGAGTTACTAAATTAGCCAATTTTGGTGGTATATGCCTGTAATCCCAGCACTTGGGAGGCTGAATAGGAAGGCTACATGAAAACCAGGCTAGCCTGGACTACATAGACAGAACCTGTCCCCCAAAAGAAAGGAAAACTAGCCAAAAAAGTCATTAGACAGGTATGGGGGTAAATATCTGAAATATATGCACTTAGGGGGTTAAGCCAAGAATATCAGAAGTTTAGAACCACCATTGGCTACATAGTGAATTCTTGCTAGAGCCAGCTCCAAGAGTCCCTGTCTCAAAGAAGAAACAAACAAAAAGGCAGGCATGATACCACACCTCTATAATACTCAAGACGCAGAAGCTGGAATATTGCCACAAGTTTTAGGTCCAGCCTGGTCTACATAGGAAGTTATGGCCAGTTTAGGCTACATATAACAAGACTATAATAAACACAAGAAAATCCAAAACTGCTAACAGGCAAAAAAAAAAAAAGCTATTAAATTAGTATTTTCACACTGATCTTTTTTTTGGGGGGGGAGGGAATTGAGATAGGGTTTCTCTGTGTAGCCCTGACGATCCATAGACCAGGCTGGCCTCAAACTCAGAGATCCACCTTCTTCTGCCTCCTGAGTGCTGGGATTAAAGGCATTTGCCACCACCGCCCGGCCATTTAAAACAATCTTATTTTACATACCAATCCCAGTTCCCTCTCATTGCCCCAACCATCTCCCCATCCCTCGCCCAATCCACTCCTCCAGAGGGCGAGGCCTCACTTGAGGCAGGACCAAGGCCCTCCCCTTCTGTATCTAGGCTGACAAAGGTTCTTTCCATAGGAAATGGGTTCTTTTTTAAACCAATACGGAACACTTGGGTTGCTTAAGGAAGAGTCTTTTCAAATGGTTCTTCTAAAATTTTAAGTTGTATTATTTTATATATTAGAAACTCATACAACTTATATAGCTGAGTACTTTATTTTACAGAGACAAGAGAGTTTCACGATGGAGGCCAGCCTGGAAGACATTGTGAACTCCAGGCCAACCGTCTTAATGTGAGAAACTGTTTCAAACTAAAAGCAAACAAAACACAAATAATAATATACATTATGCCAGCTCTTCAGGACTTCCCATGGTACCATGGGCTCAGGTCACTCGCCAAAGAGTCTACTTCTGAATAAAAAGGATATATTTTTGTATAGTATACTAAATAAAAAGTACACATTTTTGTAATTTGGTGTTTATAAATGGAACCCTCATATAATATATGAACAGTGAATGTTTTGGTTACCAGAAGTCTTAGGTGGGTTTTTTTTTTTTTGGCCTACGAAGTAGGTGACCCCATTTCTATAAACTTGGTGTGAATTACAAGCCATAGTGAAGGCAAAAATAGTTGAGGTGAAAAGTAATTCAAATCTTTCTCCTGCACAATGTCCAACTTGCCTATTCCTGAATGAACAATTAAGAATCTTACCCTGGGTACCACTTCGCATGCTGTTCCCAAGGGTCTTCACTTGGCTTCCAATCTGTGAGCCCTCCTCCACAGTGAAAGCACTTCACCTTATCACCTTCACCTAAGGAAACATGCACGTAAAACTATGTGTATCTGTGCATCAAAAAATGCCCATTCTAACATTTAAGAGGTGTCTAAGTTACATACAATCTCATGGCTTAAAGGAAAACATTCATATTCCATCTAGATACGATCTTTATCATTTGACAGGAAATACACACTAAATTTACCATCCCGATATGGGGTGCTTTGTAGAAGACAACAAAAGTAAAATCAAAGATTTTATGTTAAAAACTACAATTGTTACATTCTTTCTAGTGCATGTCATTTGGGTCATTACTATCACACTTACTTCATCAAACTGAAATCTGTACAAGTTATATTCCAAATGTTAACTATAATAAAATTCAGCAGATACTACAAAGTAAGTGTCTTTAAGGATAGAGCTCTCTGACATGAAAAAGACCTTCAAGATTACTATGTTATATAAATGAAAAAAATTTGAAATAATTTGTATTTTGAATTTAGCACTATTCAATCTTAAAATAAGTGGACCAGGCATGCAGATATAAAATATTCCTAGAAGCAACCATATTACTGGCTTTTAAGTCACATACTGTGACTGTTTCAAAAATACTCTGATGCAATAAGGCATAATACAGGGCAGCTTTCAAATATGTAGCGTATGTTAAAGATGTTACTTTTTCTTTGGTTCTTTTCGAGGGTATCATGACGTAGCCCAAACTGCCCTCAAACTCATTCCTACCTCAGCCTATGGACTGCTGCAATTACAGGTATGTGGCACCATGCTTAGCTTGATGTCAGTTTACCATGAACCAACCTAAATTCTCTGTTAACTCTGTTTATAGGGTTGTGGTGAAGCTTACAGACAATCCATGTAATAAGTATGCTGAGCATACAGAGTAGATGCTCGTTAAATGGCAGCTATTATTACTATTAGACCCATTATTTATCAGGAATCAATACCATCTTTTTTCTTCTCTCAACTCAACCCTCAAACAACTGTATGAATACAGATCTGACTCATAATAGCATGGCCTTTTAAGCATAAATTCAGTAATGACAATGAAGATTTAACATATGAGTTCAGAGAATGATACTAATGATAAGCAATCCTGAAAACTTATGCCTAAATATTTATTAGTTCAGAAGACTAAAGGCAATGATTTTCTTTTTAGGAGCCCTATGACAGATGGAAAGTAATTTACTGGTTAAGTTTACCTAAAGCATAAAATCCAGCTCTTGCAAGCTGCTCCTTGTTAACTGAGTATATCCATGTTCCAAAAGTAATGATCCGTGCTTCATATTCTGCCATGGCTGGATTTCTTGGAGAATTTGCCGAATTGGGGAAATTCCTATCAGAACTCACACCAGATTCACTCCGAACATTAACATTCCGGCCCAAAACAAAGAAGCAATTGGGAAAGTGTCTCCTGTGTTCTGACCAGGCACGATCACAGGGTTCCCAATTTTTCAGTTTCCCACCACAGCAAAAGCACTGCACTTGATCATCAATCCCTGTGTAGTACAGTCCAGCACTGGCCAACTCTCTGGGGGTTAAGTGGGCATAGTCTGGCCAGTTCTGAAAGGACTTCAGCCTGGCTTCTTCACTACACATGGCAGGGTTCCTCGGGTATATGGTATCTGAAATATCTACAACCTGTCCAGTTCTCAAAAGATAATCTGCATGAGTCTCAGATGGCCTGTCAAGAGCAAAATGATTTCTGTTTCCCACATAGTTTTCAGCTTTGTACTGGCCATTTTGGATACCAGGATTTGTAGCCTGTGTGGCACTGTTTTCAAAATAAAAACCATTGATAAATCTGCAATTTGGGGATATTTGCCTGTGTCTTCCAACAGCTGAGTCTCCGTACTGCCATCTATCCACTGCCGCGTGACAACTAAAGCACTGCACAGTATCTCCTTCACCAGTATAAAGAAACCCTGCTCGTGCCAAGGTTGATGCTGAAACAGGACTACTACTTGGAAAGTTAGCAAATGTTTTTAATCTATTAAACTCTTCTACAAATTCTTCATCCTTATTGGTGTCTGCAGGTACACAAGTTCTAGATCCTTCAAAACTGTTAAAAGTCATCTTCTCTTGAAAATAGGACTTGTCCACCTTTTCTAAAAAGAGAACATTGCATTAGGAAATCCAAAACACATAACAAAAGTAACATATTTCTGATACTAAGCACTAACAAATTATCCACTGATAACATAAAAACAGTGGTACAATCACTAAGACACATTTAATTCTAAACACTAGAGCCTTACATTACTACTTGAGTTTTAAAATCTGGTGCTTTTGTTTTTTTTCTCTTTCAGTGTTAAGGCTTCACACAATGCCAGACACATGCTCCAACACAGAACTATAAACCAGCCTGTTTCTCTTATTTATTGTAGTCCTGGATATCCACCTCAGGGTCTTTGGCATTTTCGGCAAGTGCCGAAAATGAGCCTCAATCTCAGTCCCACTTTCTCTTTTGATGGAAAACAATATGTAAACAAACAGCAGAATTACGAATCTTAAGTACTCATTTTATAGAAATATGGAAAGTATGACACAGAAAAATTATAAATATTAAACACATGAAGCCTTTAATTAGGAAAAACATGAATGCAGCATAAAACATGCAGATTATTAAAGACTATGCATAATAGTTATAATGAATCATTTCATATTCAAGGCATCAAAGTTCAATTTTTACTACTTAAAAATGAATGTTTAGAATGCTCATGGATTAATTTTAAATATATTTTCACTTTCTTGCTTAGCAAAAAAAAAAAGTGGTCTGGTGGAGGCCATGCCCAAGGGTATATAGGAAGCACAAATTAAACTTGCTGCATTTAAACAAAAGGACAAAGTCAGGTGGTAGATCTGGGAGGAGTTGGGGAGGTAGGTGACTGTGATCAAAATGCCATGCATAAAATTCTCAAAGAACTAATAAAAATATTAAACAAAATATTCATAATATTGTTCCAGCATGTTAAGGATATCAAATGCTTCTCATTTTCATGTATAGAGTCCACAA